TCTCCTTACGGCTCTGGGTTGTGCAGATTTACATACTGACTTGTATCTGTGGCCTTCCTGACCATTTGCTCCTTTGATCTACTTTGAAACTCAAATTCCTTATCTCCCATTTTCTTAAAAAATTATTCAGTCTCTGGGCTGCATCCATTTAGAAGCTTTTCCATTTTTATTTCCCAAATATTTAATATTTATTTCCCCTACTTAATTTAGGAGCTCTGGTGGAGTAGTGCAATTTAATCCAATGATCTTCCTGCTTGTTCTTTAATGTTTAAGTAGCATTTAGTGCCATATGACCTTAATTTTTTAAGCTGCTAAAAATCATTTTCATAAGCCATAAATTAGAAATTATAATATCACCTAAAAGTTTTATGTGAAAAAAAAGTATCTACATGAAAAGCATAATGCACATTTCACATTGTCTTGTCAAGAAATGCTTAGAGAGTATAAAATAATCATACATAATAACTAACCAGTCATCACAAAAATTTACACACAAAGATTATGATTTAGTGTGAGACTCTGGCAAGTTCTACTGCAGTTTTGAAGACACTAACTGGAAAACACCTTCCTTCCAGTAAGAATGCTCCTCCCACTCCTTCTGCAGGGGAATGCAATGCCTGTAGTCTTCTCCAAAAGACATTCAGTGCAATATTAAAAATAGTTGTATACCAGAGAGTGGGTTAGTGGAATAGAGAAAAAGTAAGAGAAAATAAAATATTTTGTTGTCACTGTATATGACAGGAATTCCTTAAGGATAAGAGTAATTTAGCCTGGGGAGCAGAAAATGAAAAAAAAAAAAAAAAAATTGGGTGTGCTCTGCTCTCTCTCTAGAAGGAGAGCATGGGGCCAGCTGTCCCTCCATAGCACTACCAGACAGAGAACAGATTTCAACAAGTTTGTAATCTCATTTATAATTAGGAAGGTAACTCCTTCCAGATGTGCCAGAAGGAACAGGAATGTCTTTGCAACATGTGAGGTACTCATACGTTATGCTGTTTCATATTGAAATTCTAGGAATTAGAACTGGCATCTGCTTTGGATACAGGAAATATTTCAGGAGCATTCAACTGAAAACAGGTTTACCAACTTTAGGCTTGCTTGCCTTGCCTCTTTTGATGGGTGTATTTTAGAAATTAATATCAGATTCTAAAAGTCATTTGATAACTTATTGGAATTAAAAATAAAGTATGATGGGATAGAGGGAGGGCTAGATTTTCTGAAGAAAATAATTTATAATGACTATTTACAACTTTAAGAAGCTCTGGAGGCATAGTGGGTGAGGCATTTAGATGCTAACCAGAAGGTCATCAGCTCAAACCCACCAGCTACTCCACAGGAGGAAGACAACACAATCTACTTCCATAAAGATACCTTGGAAACCCAAAGGGAATTGCTATGAGTCAGAGTTGACTTGATGGCAGTGGGTTTATTTATTTTTTTGTTTATGTACAACTTTAGAAAGAGAAATAATTATCTCTTGTTATACAAAGCAAAAAAACAAAAGAAACATTGTTCTTTCCATTCAAAGCAAACAAACAAACACATAAGCACCTGAAGCTTTTGTAGAAATTAAATTTTTGCAATCAGGTATCAGTTACAATAAGGTTGCTGGCTGTTCTATAATAAACTCCTTATCGTTAGATGCAAGGGCAGTTTGGAACAGCTAAGGGAGACCAGAAAGTGAGCAGAGTGGTTTGGAACAGCTAAGGAAGATGCATTTGTTTTACTGTGGTGGCTTGTATGTTGCTGTGAGGTTGGAGGCTATGCCACCAGTGTTTCAAATGCCAGCAGGGTTCCCCATGGAGGAGAGGTTTCAGTGGAGCTTCCAGAATAAGACAGACTCGGAAGAAAGAAGAGGCCATCCACTTCTCAAATAATTGGTCGGTGAAAAATCTTATGAATAGCACTGAAATGCTGTCTGATATATTAGTGGAAAACTTTATGAATAGCTCTAAAACATTATCTGATATACTGCTGGAAGATGAGCCACTCAGGTCAGAGGGCACTCAAGATACGACTGGGGAAGAGATGCCTCCTCAGAGTAGACCCGACCATAATGATATGGATAGAGTAAAGCTTTTGGGACCTCCATATGCTGATGTGGCATGATTCAAAATGAGAAAATACAGCTGCAAATATCCATTAAAAATTGGAACATGGATTGTATGAAGTATGAATCTAGGAAAATTGGAAGTTGTCAAAAATGAAATGGAATGCATAAAGACTGATATCCTAGGCATTAGTGAGCTGAAATAGACTGTTTTTGCCCATTTTGAATCAGAAAACCACATGACCTACTATGCTGGGAATGATAAATTGAAGAGAAATGGTGTGGCATTCATCATCACAAAGAATGTTTCAAGATCTATCCTGAAGTACAATGCTGTCCATAAGTAAGACCAGTTCAAAACCAAACCAAACTCACTGCTGTCCAGGCGATTTTGACTCATAGTGACCCCTCCTTGGGTTTCCGAGGCGGTATCACTACGGAAGTAGATTGCCCAACCTTCCTTTGGAGGAGTGGCTGGTAGGTTTGAACCACCAGCCTTCTGGTTAACAGTCAAATGTCTTAGGCACTACACCACCAGAGCTCCCAAGAAAGACCAGTTAATAATACTGTTATTCAATTTACACACCAACTACCAAAGTCACAGATGAGGAAGTTGAAGATTTTTACAAACTTCTGCAGTCTGAAATTGACCAAACATGCAGTCAGAATGTGTTGATTATCACTGATGATTGTAATGCAAAATTTGGAAACAAAGAAGAATCACCAGTAGTTGGAAAATATGGCCTCTGTGATAGAAATAACACTGGAGATCTCATGATGAAATTTTGCAAGACCAATGACTTACTCATTGCAAATACCTATTTTCAACAACACAAACAGTGATTATACATGTGGACTTCACCAGATGGATTACACAGGAATCAGATTGACTATATCTGTGGCAAGAGGGGATGGGGAAGCTCATTATCTTCAGCCAAAACAAGACCAGGAGCTGATTGTGGAACAGACCATCAATTACTCATATGCAAGTTCAAGTTAAAGTTGAAGACTATTAAAATAAGTCCATGAGAGCCAAGATATGACCTTGATATCCCTCCTGAATTTAGAGACCATCTGAAGAACAGATTTGATTCATTGAATAGCAATGACTGAAAACAAGAGGAATTGTGGGATGACATCAAGAACATCATCAATGAAGAAAGCAAAAGGTCATTAAAAAGACAAGAAAGGAAGAAAAGACCAAATTGGAAGCCAGATGAGACTCCAAAACTTGCCCTTGAACCGAGAGCAGCTAAAACAAATGGAAGAAATGACAAGATAAAAGACCTAAACAGAAGATTTCAAAGAGCAGCTTGAGAAGAAGTCAATTATTATAATGAAGTGTGTAAAGATGTGGAGTTAGAAATCCAAAAGGGAAGAACATGCTAGACATTTTTCAAACTGAAAGAACTGAAGAAAAAATCCAAGCCTCAAGTTGCAATATTGAAAGATTCTATGGGCAATATAGGAGCTCTGGTAGCATAGTGGCTAAAGCACTTGACTGCTAACCAGAAGGCTGGTGGTTCAAACCCACCAGCCACTCCTCGGAAGGAAGGTTGGGCAATCCTACTTCCGTAGTGATACTGCCTCGGAAACCCAAGGAGGGGTCGCTATGAGTCGGGGCCGACTCGACGGCACATAACAACAACAACAAAATGGGCAATATATTGAATGATGCAGGAAACATGAAAAGAAGATGGAAGGAATATACAGAGTGACTGTACCAAAAAGAACTGGTTGATGTTCATCCACACCACTGCCATCCTCTTGACTCTCGCTTTGGGACAGACTGTGAGACTGGTGAGTGCAATACTTGCAAAGTATTTTGGGGTAATTGGGCAGTATAAGGATGTAAAGTGGAGGTAGAAAGAACTTTTACAAAATAATGCCTATACTTTGTGGAAATCAAGAGGATGAGTCCTGTGAGAGGCAGGAATAATTATATTTTATCTGATCTTTGGTGAGTTATCTTGGATTTAATGTGGGAAATGAAGTTAAAGAGACAGTGTTACGGGAAGAAGAATAAAGAATGAAGTCCTGTCCCATATTTCAGTTTGTTTCCAAACATTTGCTTCTCTGGGTGCTGGCCTTTGGAGTTGTGTCTGAGCTTTTGCAATGCTTTCTGAAGAACCCAAGGCAAGATCAGTTAGACTTTCAGCCAGGGTTTCACGGCTGACAATGTTGGTAGCTGTTTGTGTTGAGATTGCTCAGAACTTTAGCAAGTTGAGTCTCTCTTCTCCAGATAATGTTTAAATCCACCCACGTCTTACTGCTGCCTCAGTACATGTTCCATTTTTGGTTTAGAAATGGCAGAATGAGAAAGATGCCAGAAAAGAATCAGAGATGATGGAAAATATCATAGTTTCGTAGTTTGTCATAAAAGAAACACCACAAGTTGTTGGCTTTAAAGAACAGAAATTTAGTTTCTCATAGCCCTAGTAGCTAAGAGTCCAAATCAAGTTCTCAGCCTATCTGTTCCTTCCTTGTTGGTGGCCCTGTGTGTTCCTTGATTACTTGACCTGTAGATAATCCTCACATGCTTTCTGTCTTCCCCTGTGTGCCATAGCTGTGTTTAATCTGCTCTTTTTGTAACTCAGAAGTGATTAGATTTAGAACCCACTCGACTCTTGTATGCTTTAATTAACATGATGAAGGAAACACCCCTTCTAAATAAGATTAAATCCACAGGTAGAGGGATTAGGATTCTCACATATATTTTTGGGAAACACAATTCTATTAATAACAGGGAATTATGTTAAAAGGAAAGGGATTTAAAAAAAAAAAAGCTACACAGTTATGAAGATTTTGCGATCAAGATCAAGGTGAATACTTGGAACTAGAGAAATTTTGACCCAACTTATTTAAAGGATATTGACTTACTTTGCCAGCAAGAGTGGCCCTACAGTAAACACTGCTGTTTGTTTTTCAGATTCTCAGAGATCCAGGAAAGATGTCTTATCAACAGCAGCAGTGCAAGCAGCCCTGCCAGCCACCTCCTGTGTTGTGCCCACCTAAGTGCCCTGAACCATGTCTACCTCCAAAGTGCCCAGAGCCATGCCCGCCTGTGCAGTGTCCTCCTCAGCCATGCCCCCCTGTGCAGTGCCCTCCTCAGCCATGCCCCCCTGTGCAATACCCTCCTCAGCCATGCCCACCTGTGCAGTACCCTCCTCAGCCATGCCAGCAGAAATACCCTCCTATGCAGTCATCCCAACCCTGCCAACAGAAGTGTCCACCCAAGAACGTGTAACAGCAGTAGAATTCATCAGAAGCAGAAACATGATCCAGTGGCTTTTTCCAGTCTCCAGATTTCATCCTCTTCCCTCAGCCATCGTGACAGAACGAATCTTCCCTAATTTTCTTCCTGAGATGACATTTGATGGAGAAAAGGTTTTAAGCTGATACCATGTTCTTGGAAGATGAGTGGCAAAATCAAGGTGTACATCCTTGCAATGAAGCAGACCTGATCTCTTTGACATCTATCTGTGATTTAATTTAGTCAATGATCTCTAGCCTATAAACAGTTGTGTCCTTTTTCTGCTTCTTCAATAAAGCACGTTTCATGGTCAATCTTACATTACTTCTGTTTTCATTTTGTGTTTTTACATTCTTCTGCCAACTACACCAGATGGATGTTCCCTTCCATTCTTATTGAAGTCTTAGATTCATTTTTTCCCATCACTGACTTCACACTTGCTTGAAATCTTCCTTGGGATTCTATATATCAAATAATTATTATGGTTGTTTTTAATCAATTCCAGCAACATTCTAGCTGTATGACTCTAAGAAGTTACTTAAACTATCTCAGGTACTATTTCCTCACCTGTAAAATGTGGGATAGAATATCCTCAGCTCAGTATACTCACAGAGATTAATTAACTCATTCACAAATATTTTCTAATGGCTTATTCTTGCTAGGCAGTAGTCTATATGCTAGAGATAAGGATAATGGTGACCACAGCAGAGTCCTTATCCTTAAGTAGGAGAAAAGATAGTGATGCATAGGGGCATAGAGGAGAACTAAGAGTGATACACATGGGGTGTGCTTTAGAGAACAGTGTTCAGAAAGGTTCTTCCAACATGCCTTTTTTGGGGGCAAAAACATGAATGAATAGAAGAGTGACCTGTAGATATATCTAGGATGTACTTTTCCAATGAGAGGAAATGGCAAGTTCTAAGGCAGAGCAGAATAACAGAGGAAAAAAACAACAATCAAGGTGAGATTGTCAGTAAATGAGGTTAGAGAGGTTGGATCTGTAGGACATAGTAATGATTTTGGTATTCATTCAAGGTTTGACAGCTATATTATGCTGATGGACAAAGGCCTAAAATTTTATATTAATATAATACTCAACTATCATATGTGTTTTCTTTTTGTAGCATTTTGACTAAAAGCACATATGTTTGTTCAAAGTTATTTCCAAAAGAAATTAAAAGAACTGAGGAATAAATTAAAACCCTTACAAAATAAGAGCTTATTTTGAGAGATGACCACATGAAAATTGGTCTATTAATTTTCCTGTCTTAATGGGAAATCTAGTCTATTAATTTTCCTCAAATTATAGCTATGAAAATTGCATAGGGAATTTTGTACTTACTGTGGTCCAAACTCTAAAAAGAATACTGGAGGGTAGATTCTATAGCAGGTTACACTGGATGACTCCAAGTGATTGTCATTAATGGTAAGCTCTTGAAAAGAACTCTGACCAACCTTCCAACCAGCAGACAAGTACGTTAAGCATTTTGGCTACCCAGGTATGTATATCACTGGTGGGAATGACCAATGGCATAACCACTTTGCAAAATGGTTTGGAAGTATGCCTTTATAGAAAGAAGAAAATCCTATTAATTGTAAATATACTTAAGTATAGAACCATTTAATGTGAAGGTTTCATTGCATTAAAAATACTGTTGTGTGTGCAAGAGTTGTGTGTGTATGTGTGTGTTCTCAATTAATTATTCCCATGTGGACATATAGGATCATAGGAAAAGATATGTTTAAGGAACATCTCTCCTTTTAGCCACTTACTTGACTTGTAAAATATGCACTTATAAAACAAGCTGTATAAGAATAGTCACTTTTCAAATCTAAGTAAATATTCTTTACCACACTATTTTTAAAATGTAAGATAAGAACAGTGAATAAATTAATGTCAGAGGTGAACAGAAAAGATAGGACCTTGTATTTTTATGTGCTGTTGGAATAAGAATAGCAGGTGATATCCATGAAGATGAGGCAGACACTGGCCTCTGGAGGCCTTTATATTTCCCTTTCACCTCTACTATCTGTGTTTTAAAAAATGCTCTGATACTGTATAGGATAGCCCACTAATTCCAAAAAAGGTCTTTTCTCCAGACTATCACGTAGAAAAGAAAGAGAGTAGTAAGGTATGAAAGGGAAATAAAGTTTGAAAATCTTTCCTAGAGTAGCAACATCTAGGTTGCTTTCTTGCTGGAGCACACATGGTGAAGATGATGGTCTGCTGCTGTTAATAAACTATCACTTACTGCATGCTAATTCTGAGTTAAGGTCCCTGGGTGGCACAAATGGCTTCAACTCGAGTTTTAACTTCAGGAACAAGGATGATGAGACATCATGTGCACATGTTTTCAGGAGGGACCAGTCCCTGGAAAAGGACATCATGCTTGATAAAGTAGAGGGTTAGCAAAAAAGAGGCAAACCCTCAACAAGATGGATTGACACACTGGCTAAATAATGGGCTCAAACATACCAAAGATTGTGTGAATGATGCAAAACCAGGTAGTGTCTCATTCTGTTGTCCATAGGGTCACTGTGATTTAGAACCAACTTGATGATATATATAACAACACCAACTAACCTCAAGATTGATGATTTGAACCCACCCAACAACACCAACAGTACTGAGGAAGAAAGCCCTTTTCTTTCACAAGTGTTACAGCCAAGAAACCCTATGTAGCAACTCAACTCTGTAGCATGTGGAATGAGCGTAAGGTAGAATCATCTCTATAGTAATGGGTTTTTGATAGCTTGTTTGTTTAATTCTGGGTCAGGGATTCTGGCAACAGAGTTACATGCATTATTTATTTTTATACCTAAGACAAGTTTGTGATCTAAATAATACAGGAGGGAGCTCTGGTAGCATAGTGGCTGAGACACATGCCTGCTAACCAGACAGCTGGCGGTTCAAACCCACCAGCCACTCCTCGGAAGGAAGGTTGGGCAATCCTACTTCCATAGTGATACTGCCTCGGAAACCCAAGGAGGGGTCGCTATGAGTCGGGTTTGACTCGACAGCACATAACAACAACATAACAACAAAAAATAATACAGAAATAGTCTTTGGCATGATGCAAAATTCAGTTAATAGTGATGGTGAATCTGGATCTTGGGATCAAAGAATAGAAATAAACTAAAATTATGATATAATATTGTTAACAAAAGCAAGTTTGAAAAGAAATAAAATATTTATCCCATCATCAAAAAGCATAGTTTATTCAGGAAGTGAAAGTAAAGTTACAATTGCTCAAGTGGTAGAAATCTCTGCCAAGGTCACAGACACAGATGACATCAAGAGAATCATTTGATGAGACTCGAAGAGTGTGCTGTTGTTCCTTTGATGCTCTAGGGTCCTGGCAGCTAAGGACTGCCCTTTCTCAGTCGCCTCCTGGATAGTAGCAGTATAATAGGTCAGGAAAAATCCTTTAGCTGTCAGGAATCATCACAGGAGGATCATGGGCCAATGGGTGGAGAAGCTCCTGTGTCCATGATTGGCTTTGAAGAAAAGATGAAGGTGGAGCTGTGGAAGGAGATGAGCCAATTGTCCTTATCATTTCATGATCCTGATGAATTCTGAAGCTGCTACTTGCTCTTGGGTGGGCACTTCTGCTGGCAGGGTTGGGGTGGGCATGGCTCGGGGAACTTAGGTGGTAGACATGGATCTGGGCACTTTGGAGGTGGACATGGTTCAGGGCACTTTGGAGGGGGGCATGGTTCAGGGCATTTAGGTGGGCACACCACAGGAGGGGGCTGGCAGGGCTGCTTGCACTGCTGCTGCTGGTAAGACATCTTTCTGGAGTCTCTGGGAAACTGAAAGAAATTAGGTGACAGTGTTCACATGAAGGACCTCCTACAGACAGAGAGCTCCTAGAGAAGCTGAAGCTTATTTAATTCCACTGCATATTACCTCTCCAGTCCCCAAGATATACTTTCATCTCTTAACTCTCCTTTTAGAATGTTCTGGCTTCCATCTCTTTGCAAATTGCTTCCTTCACTCTGGAAGATTCCTCTCTTTTCTCATGCCATTTTCTCAAAGAAATCTCTCTGTGCTAAAACAAGTAATGAGTAATGACTTCTTCAAGACAGGCTGTCACAGTTCTGAAATCCTCATAAGCAATTTCTATCAAAATCTCTTCTGAGGTCTCAAGAGTTGGATAGTGAGCAACCAGCTGCTCGGGGAGAAATCAATGGCCTTTGAAATCACAGCAGAATGGACTTCAGAAAGAAATGGAAAGAAGAAAACTACCTTGCTCTCTTCTTCAAATCAATGCTTTCCTATTAACTTATTTTTCAATAGAGACATCAAACTATCTATCAGAACCCAAATTAAAACAATAGATCTTTGAATCCTTGTGCCCCAATTCATAGTTTCCATCCACTAAATGACATCAGACCTATAGTCCTAACTATGGACCCATCAAATTTTCTGTCTTCAGATTGAATTCAAATATTTCAGAGCCACAAATAAACAGAGAAATATGAGAAATGAGACTTACCAGGTTCTCCAAAGTAGATTGAGAGGATGGTAGCTATACAGCAGAGGACCTCTTTATAAGACTTGCTGCTCCACCCAGTGGGTAGTGGAGCTGCTTAAAACTGGGCTGGTCCAAGAATTTCCTAACCAAAATGCAAATCTTTTCCTAGTAGGCTTGACAGGGACTCTGATAACAGGAAGCATCCTGTTGCAGGATATCCTCATTGAGTTAAGTGTCCATGACTCAGAGGCCCTGCCCTTGGAGACAGTTTCAGTGACTTACCCACCAGCCACTCCTCGGAAGGAAGGTTGGGCAATCCTACTTCCGTAGTGATACTGCCTCGGAAACCCAAGTAGGGGTCGCTATGAGTCAGGTATGACTCGACGGCACATAACAACAACAACAACAACACAACAGCCAGAGAATGTGAGGGATTCTCTGACTGGTGGCCAAAGGCTCTTTTGATTGATTGAGAACAAAGACCCTTTCCTATTCTTCACCTTCCCTTCTTCATAAAACTGTCTTCCCCATTCCATTTTTGCAGGTGGTCATTTTGCTATAAATTCTCCCTCATACGTAAAATGAAGCAAGGCTGCAGATCATCTCATTAACTCTCCCACAAGGGTATTTCTAAACATTCAGCAAAATGGTGATCACCAGTGTCCTATTCTCTTCTGCTTTGGGTCTTCAAATAGAAGACATAAAGCTGATTCCTGAGGCCTTTATAAAATCTGCACTACCTTGGATCACATGGGCTCCACTAGGACCCTGGTATCACCCATTACAATTGAGATGCTCTAGCAGTTCAGTTCCTAGAATTACAACATAAAGCAGACTTTCTGACAGTATACAAGCTGCTCCTACATAACTTTTACCGATTGAGAACTAAGGGAATTTTTCATAGTTTCTGTCATCCTACCTCTTTGGAATTACTGCAAAGCCCAACCTAGTAATCAATGTCATTGCAACAATTAATTTTACATGTATTTTATACTTATTAGTTATTTAAACTGTTTGATATGGAACCTATAGGTAAATTCAAGAGGAAGTTTAAATCAGTCTATTAATAATTTAGGAGCTCTGGTAGCATAGTGCCTAAGGCACTTGACTGCTAACCAGAAGACTGGCGGTTCAAACCCACCAGCCACTTCTCGGAAGGAAGGTTGGGCAATCCTACTTCCGTACTGATACTGCCTCGGAAACCCAAGGAGGGGTCGCTATGAGTCTGGGCCGACTCGACGGCAAATAACAACAACAACAACATTAATAATTTAGTCATTAAGGTTAATAAGGTTAATAAGTTCATTTACAACTTTTTAAACATTAATGATCATGTATAAATAAGTATGTATAAATTTTACTTGGTTTTAGGGTTTGTCCATGTTGATCACAGTGGTGTACATATCAAATAAGCCTGTCCTCCTCTATTTTCATCCCCCAATTTAGTAGTGTGCTAGATGCAACAAGAGATCTACAAGGAACCTGATATCTGGTCTCATTCTACCTTTGTCAAGCTATGTGATCATGGGCAGATTACCTCACCTCTTGGAGTTTAGTGCCTTAGGCATTTGACTGCTAACCGGAAGGCTGGAGGTTCAAACCCACCAGCCACTCCTTGGAAGGACAATTGGGCAATCTACTTCCTGAAAAATACAGCCTCGGAAACCCAAAGAGGGGTCACTATGAGTTGGATCTGCCTCAATTGGAGTGAGTTTGTTTGTTTTTGTTTATGAACAAATAAAAATAATACCCACTTCCTGGGGTATGAGATAGGGATGGCTCTATACGACTTTGTCTTGATTCTGTTCAAGCCTGGAATTCTCTCTTCCTTGCTTTACTTCTTCCCATAAAATCTCAGATTAGACCTATGTTCTCTACTTCTTTGAAGCTGTCTTTTCCAACCCATTCCTAGAAATGCTTCTATCCCAGGACAGACTGCAGGGTGGGATCCAGTCTCCTCAGTGATTTTCCTCCTTGCTGCCCTTCAGACAGGCCTTCAAACCAGAACAGAATTGAAAACTAAAACTGAAAATAACCCAAATTTCCATCACAGTAAAACCAAAACCTGAATGAAAAGAAAATGTTTTTCTGAACTGGAACTGAGGTTGAAAACAATTATTTTTTTGCTGTTCTGTTTCCAACACCAGATAATTTTGTAAAACAAAACAAAACAAAAGAACAATGTTTATTGTACTTTAGATGAAAATTAATACAGAAAATTAGTTTCCTATTCAATATTTGCACATGAAGTATTCTATGGCATTGGTTGTATTCCCCACCCTGTGTTAGCACTCTCTCCATTTCCACATTGGGTTCCCCTTTTCTTTTATTCTGAATTTTCTAATCCTCCCTGGTTTCTCATCTTTTCTTTAGGGCTAATATTGTCCTTTTCATCTTGTGTAACTGGTTTTTCTAAGGAACATGTTCTTCTTGGTGCTATTGCTTATTTCACTGAAAACAATTTGATAGCATCACTACAAAGTGAGATTTTACTTCAAAAGGTGCTAGATAAATGTATAAGGATATACATTCAAAGTAGGACTTTGAATGGAAGAAATCAGCAAGCCCTGTGAATATAAAATCAAAGTTATCCTGGCTTTTCTAGTATACTAACAGTACATGGCTAAAAGCATTCTAGTATGCACTGGTTCTAATTCATTGCTACAAATGTATTTATGCATTCTCTTCTCTTTATGTTATCAAAGTCTAAGACTTGTTTTTACTGTAATATAATATAGTGACTATAAAATATACCCTAATACAAATATTATTTCTTGTTCCTTGATAAAACATCTGTATGGGACAAATCAGAGAATCTAGTCCAGAATTCAAATATGAAAAGATTGAAAATAAAAGCATGTGTAAAATTTGCAGCACAGAGGTGGCTGGAGACTGTGCAGTGAATTTAGAGAGGTATATGAAACATCACCATATGGATGAATACAATGTAGTACAAAGCAAGAAGACGAAGAAGACTGAAGAAAGTGTCAGAAGTGTTCTGAATAAGCAACAAAAAATATTAGATGAATTTATGTTTCTAGAATGCCTTAAGGTGAAATTAGATAAACAAACCATTGTTGATGCTGTGTTCAATTAGTTGCTGTTAATGGCTATTGTTAGAATTGATAGGATACTCAGAGTTCTGTAAAATTTTGAATACAATTACTACTTCAATTGGTCAAAATTTTTCAATCAACTCAGAAAATATTAGGGAAATAATACCTTACTTGTCCTTAAAACCTAGCTCCAAAATTAGTAGTAATCTAGAAAAACTATTATTCTCTTTGAAAATGGATGTTGCCAGTAGACTGTATTAGTCAATTCTAGGAATTAATGTTCAGTTCCAATAAGACTGTAAGATACATCTATTGATACTAGGAATGAAAGAGTTAAAACACACACATACACACACACAGAGAGTCTGCACATAAAAAACACTGTGTATCAAACTTTAGAGAAGAACAACATTAATTTAAAACTTTTATTCTGTAGGCATGAATAATGGCTGTAATATGATTAAATTTGTTGATTTGCTCAGAAATGATTGTGAAATTGAATGGCAAATGTCAGGGCAAAATGACAGTTTTGAAGACTGATTTAGTGCACCCTGATTTTCAGACATTAACTACCACAGAGTGTGGTGAAAGTGATAAGGTTTGTAAGAAAAGATTGACTAATATAAAGTATGCTGCACACACACTTCAATTAGTTGTTAAAGACGTAATGAAGGATAGCTGACCTGGAAGAATTTTTAGAAGAATATCATGAGCTTATTTGAATACCTAGTGTTCGGAAATTGTTTTACCAAATATTTGGAAAATAATTTAAGGAAACCTATATTGGATTGCACAATAAGATGTAACAGTACATATCTCATCTTAGAAACGAATATTTTTTTAATAGAATGAAAAAATCTAAAGCTTTGGGACTTCCAGCAAGATGGCAGAATGGGCAGACATGCTATCAAGACCCTCTATAAGAAAGAATCAAGAAACAAAATGCATACAGAGGATAATCCTCAAATCTGAGCTATGAAGGGAAGGATAAGAAGTGGGTTAAACATAGACTAATAGAAGAAACTGAATGAAAATACTGAATAAGGAGAGAAATGGAGCCATGGACTGTCAATTGGCCTGATGATGCAACCATTTTGAATATTTGGAAGAGGGATTCCAATCAGGTCAGTAACAAGATAATCAGCTCTGCTTGCTGAGGACTGCATGGACAACTATACTGTTCGCTGGTAACCAGAAAGGTGTGATATTCCCTTTATTCCCCTTGTATCCTATACCCTCCTGGTGAATGGAGGTATGG